ATCTGTTTTCTACCTAGCACCTCGCTGACTACACCTTGAAGTATCGACGCCACAAAATCAGTGGAAGGAAACCACCGATTGTTTTTAATTACCAGGCAACCAAGCGTGGCATTCGGCCCAATACATTCCTGTTATCTACATAAATAAGAAAGATCTTTTAAAACGAATACAATTAAATATTTTTGCGCTTATTGAGCTATATCAAAAACACATATTGTTGTAAAAGAGGTGTTTGCGTGACAGACAAAGCGAACACTATTCATTATATTATGCGTGTGTTGTTTGTGAACAGTGACATAGTTTGCGAATAGGAATCGAAATAGATCCCTTTGCCTTAAATGAGATAAAAAAAATATATAATTATATTACAATCACGAATGTCAAGTTAAACTGGATTGCGTACTGACATATTTCTTAAAATCAAACTTACACTTTATCAATTATAAAATAAGGCTTATTTTTCTATGTCACATTTCAGAGTAGAAAAACGGTCTACTAGAGATATTAGATTTGTAGTAGTAGGTCCTTTTCTAACATTGGAAAATTAAATAATCATTATTGGCAATTAAGAGATTTTATGGTTTTTTTTAAAGACATCACTAGGTAATTTTAATTATTATCTAATAGTAAATATATTAAATAGACATAGTTGATATGTTTTTTAAGTAAAAATGTGAATTAATTAAAATAATAATGTTAACCGATGTCGTGTTAGTAGTTTTTCGTTACATTTAAGTGGCAATATTATAAATTAATATGGCCGCTCGATGTGACAACATAAACAATGTTTGATGTTTATTTGTGTTTTGACTTACTAATTCGATTATTTACATCAAAATGGTATATTGTTTTGCTTGGCTGATTGCGAAAATGAATGGTATCACGGATGTGACTTCACATTCCACAGGTAAGCTGTTTTCCTTATTTATTAAACAGTGATGAAATAGGGTGTCTACGATCAAGAAACAAAACTTTGATTTAAATTAATATTCATATGTTTATATTGTAAACATTTATAAGTTTTACTTATGCTACCCGTCATTCTTCGTTTTAATCTCTGTAAAATTTACTTGCTTAACATTACAGTAAAAATGTTTATTAATAAGTCATGCACTGCGAAATTAATATCATAAATTCAAGAAGCTTGAATATTTTCACGGTAGGTACAAAGTTATTTGGAAAATGAAAGACGAGAACTAGCTTATTTATGTTTTGGAAAATATCTGAATGGCCTACACATTAGTTTGTATAAATATTTATAAAGTAATAATTTTCTTATGCTGACCATGACAAAATTGCTCTTGTGTTTCTAGGATCCCAAAGGATAAAAGTCTAGCTGAAAAATGGAGGACAATAATACCAGCCAAAGTTATAAAATGATGCGTTGTATTCTAATACAATTAATAAAAAAAAAACGTTTCTATCCTTTTAATTGATTTATACATTAAAGATGATTATAATAACATTTATGTACTTGTTTTATTTCCTACAAAATAAATATCGGTAAAGCGATAAATAAAAACTATTTATCGGTTACATTTCTAACATCATCATTCATAATATCTGTAAAAATTTATAAAATTCTATCTGTAAATGTTTAATTTAGGTCATGTAACATTATCATGTGACAAATGTTTTTAGGCATTCACCGTTGCCTCGCATTTCTGCTGCATATAATGATGTCGGTTCTTATTTGCCTAATCTAGATATACTTTTTCAACTCGCAGTTAAGTTTTAAAGCTCAGATTCAGGAATTCTTTAGTTCTATTGACTAGATTGGGTTGGGTAAGGGACTGGGTTTGACGTGCTCTCTGAAAGCCTGTGATCTGTGTTACGGGTATTTTGATCTGACTTTTCACTGAGAACCGGAGAGTGCCTTAGCCTTCTTATTGGTGTTTTTATCAGTGGTTGAGTGAATTGTAGGTGTCGTCTAAAATTACACTTATATGTTAACAATGCTGTGTCAACCTATAATTGGTATATATATTAGATTTAAACCTAACTGTAATTTACTGAAGTAAGTTGAAATATGTATGCTGTTGGTTGTCCATATGAAATAAATAAATAAATTATTCAATATTACCTATTTATGAAATTATTAAAAACGCGTGGACATCCTACAAAACTACTAAGACAGAGATGAAGAGTTACTAATTTACTCTCTCACTCTGCCCGTTTTTAATGAAACACTGCACAATCCAGTTTATTTTGACATTCGTTATTACAATCTAAAATAAGAATGTTATTTCCATAAGATATCGAATCGTAACCTGATGAATCGCCTTACTAAATAATCGTGTTGTAAAAAATCAATTTCATTTACAATGCATTTTAAATCAATTTTAAAAACAAGAAAGATACCATTTTACGCGATTTCCGAACAGTATAAGTAGTAACGTAACGCCGTCTGACCAGTTTAATTGATTTTCGATAAAACCAATATTAATATCGTCCTTAATTGTAAGTAATTTTATAGTTTGAACCAAACAGTAAAAAATATTATATTGATTTTCAAGAATACAATATCAAATCTGTGGTACATATCGATTTAATAATGGATCTTTTTTCATTCGAAAAAAATAACGTTCCGATTAATTAATCTCAGATCGCCATCCCTACAATTGATGAATTAATTTGTTGTGAATAGGGTTCCGCAATAGTAGAATTGTTATCGCAGATTGCTGATTAAAAGAAGAAGTGTTCCACAAAATTTCAAAAGTATCGATACCAAAAAGTATTGGTAGAAAAGTATCTATACCTAGATGTATTGAGTACTTTTAAATACATAAATACCTGAATGGAGTGTTTATTTTGCTAACTTTAAATAATAAATCAGTACATTAATTAAACTATTTTTTTTGGTTTTCAATTTTTACCACGATTAGATTACAGTAGAAATTACCTTCACAAATAAAAACAATTATTGCACAATATCATTTCTGATAATGTGTTCTGAATTCTGATATATCAGTCCAATCTTCAAAGAAAATTTCGAATCTGTGAGTAAAATTTCTGTATCAGCTCTAGTTTAAAAAATATGACAATGAATATTTTTATAATAAAATAGTATATTTTTAGAGATCATCTTATTTTATTTAGTTTTTAAAATGTAAAACAGCCTATTCTAGCGTCGATGACACGAATGTAGAGCTAACTAGACAAATTCAAAAATTCACGTCTAATTACTAATTACACGTGAATTACCTCATAATATATATCGAGTAGCGTACCGATATTTATATATAATATAAAAATTTGGTGTATTTTTATATTATATAAAAATCGGTATGTCGATGTTACCAAAGTTAAAACATAGATGGTTTTCAGCTAAATATCGATATTAATTAAACGTTTATTAATATCAATCATTCCTTCCAGTGTTATTGTTGGTCTGGTTGAACATTTTGTTTAAAATATTGATTAATATTTATTCTTTTCCTTTAACTAATAATTTATTAGAAGTGGTGAGAGAGAAGAAAATTACCGATACGTCATAAATATCGTATCAAAAATACGATTCTAAAAGTGCCTACTTGGTGTCAAAAAATCTTGTTATACCTAGTTATTGTGGTTATTATATTATAGTCTGTGATATTATACGCGCGTAATTTGACAACGTCCATGGTTTGTTGCTTGGTTTACCGGCTTCTGTTTTCTTACTTTCTTCAATAAAAACACTGTTAATAATATATCAATTACAAACAAAATGTTACTGAAAAAACTATACACTTTGGTTTTCATACGAACGGAAACACAAATTCTGTTAGGGTTCAAAAAGCGTGGTTTTGGTGTAAACAAGTGGAATGGTTTTGGTGGTAAAGTAGAGCCAAATGAACAAATTATTGATGCTGCAACTCGTGAACTAAAAGAAGAGTGTTGCGTAGATGTTAAATCCACAGATCTAAAAAATATTGGCCATTTGGAATTCACTTTCGAAGGGGATCCTGTCATGATGGATGTCAGAGTTTTTTGTACTACAGTTTATAATGGTACTCCCACAGAAACAGAGGAAATGCGCCCCAAATGGTTTGATAATGATCAGATACCATTTAGCGATATGTGGCCTGATGACAAGCTATGGTTTCCTTACATGCTCAAAGAAAAATTGTTCTATGGAAGATTCCATTATGAAGGTTTTGATACAATTCTTAATTACAGTATTGAAGAATTAGAATCAATGGAAAAGTTTTATAATAGTAAAAATATAAAGTAGCCAGTACAATCACTACAATATTTTTTTTGATTAAGTGATTAATACAATAGTCAACTGAATATTGTGCAGAAAATTAACTGATCGAAAAATTAATCTTATATTTTAATTCTCATTAGAGTGTGATAAATAATATTATGATTTTATGATTGTGATTTTGACTTAAATTTTTAAAATTTTTAAGGTTAATAATTGTTAAAAAAATAGGTTTTCTATAGGTCTATAACAATTTATTCAATAATCAAATGCCACTGTGATTTGTATGTGATGTAGGTTTAAACAATATTGTTACTTTGTAATCTTTATTGAATTCGTTAATACCATAGTTACTTCAAACTTCATTGATGGTATTATAAATAAATTGTTCTGATAGAAACAGTAATTTTTATTGTGCTGAGACATGTTCCATTTTGTTTACCATTAAATAATTTTAAATGAAATTGAAGGATTAATTTAGGTTTTTTCAACATTATTCCCTAGTAACATGTAATTAAAAAAGTTTTATTATCAGTCAGTCAACCTATGCCCCTGAACTGTTTCCCCACTGTCTGTGTACACTATATGTATTCTTTGCCTCAGGGGCAACATATGTTCACATATTTCTACCATTATAAACTAGTACAGTTGTCTTATTTTGATAGGTATATTGTCAGACATAAGCATTTTATAATATTCATAACATGTCTTTTTCTATTTTATCAGTAGCAATATTTATATCTAAGGGTATTTAAATACTACTTACAGTAACAATACTTCAGGGGCAATAGACTAACCTAAAAATACTCCTGTACTTATACTGTAATAATTTTATTTCTGTTAGTAAAATACAGAATTAAAATTGGTGATAGAACCAAAACTTTCAACAGAATTGTTAACAATTGATATGTCCTAATTTCCTCCGCAACTGTACAGATCCATTATAAATTGCTACTTTCATGTTATATGTATGTACAAAAGAAAAAAAAAACAACAATGTAGCAAAATATTATATTGTTCCATTCATACATATTTCCATATTACAGTTTCATTAAACTCTTTTTATCTTGCTTCCTGAAGCAGTATAAAAATAACAAACATTTACAGATTCAAAACACAGAAAATGATTATAATTTAAAACAAAGTGAATTATAATTCATTACAAAGATATTCACAGCATCATAATTCACTATAATTCAAAGATTATTATTGAATAATGGGAAAGTCGACATGGGACCTATGAACATTTTATGGCAGAAAAATCTAATACTTATTTGGAAGTAAGTACAATCTGATAATAACAACATGGTTGTACACTGTTTCTCCTAGTGTGAGCAAATTTTTTATAAGATCTAAAGCTATTCACCACTACTCTCTTCGCCTGCTAAAGAAGCACGTGCCAAGTTCCTCACCAATGCTAATCTTAGTAGATCAGCTTTCTCTCCAGAAAGACTGGATGACTTTAACTCGAGGCAAAGCATGATCTCGTATGTGTCTTCAGAGGAAAAGATGAGCTCATCTGATTCTAATAGAGGTAGAGTGTCCAATAAAAGAGTCTCCCAGAAGCTGTAATAAAGTTTATTCAATCAGTATAATAATTTTATCTTAATTTTATCTAATTTATAATTTTATTATAAAATTTTATCTAATTTTACTTGGAAATTTGGTAAATAAAATTTAATAAAGGTATGTTCTATTTGGGAATAAGTTAATCTTAAAACAAGAAGAAATTTACAATGTATTATAAAATCACAGATATAAGATCATTATTCTAATTCTATAAATGACAATAATAAATAATGGAATTTATAATAAGGGTGTTTCAGTGTTTTCTTGCAGTGTTTAATATACTATTAACCAATAATCATACTTTTATGATTTCATACCAGAACCTATAGAATTCAACCTTATGCATACATAGAACGATATTAGTTTCAGAGGGCCATGAAGTTATAACGACGCCATGACAGAAGTGGCGTTTGCGCGGGAAATTTTGAAAATTAAATTTATGTTTAGATTTTAACATAAATGAATGTTACTTTTTTTAATATAAAATAAAAAAGGTGTCTGCACCTTTATTATATATAATATAATATATTAATCTAAAGAAAACAACGCCTGTGCTCGAGTATATGAAATATTTTTATTAATTAATTTCTAAATTATATGTAAAAAGAAAATATAGATAGGCAACTTACTAATCGGGAGCTATTTTCGAAGTTATTAGAGACACCAGTAATTTGCCAGCTTTTTTGAATTCTCTATTCTTATACAGTCTGTGAAAATCGCAGTATTTTCCTGTAATAAAAAGAGTAGTAAAAATAAATAGTCCAATAAGTGGACTATTTATTTTATTATGTAGACACAAAATATTTTGTTTATTTGTGGAAATCTGAGATTCTGGAGATGGATAATTCAATTATTGCGATTGTGCGCTTCACAGGAATCGATCCAGAGCGATTTGTCTGTTTATCGAGCATCCTCACGTCCGATCGCTTGCACCGATCAAAAAATCCCTTTTTTTTCATTTGTGACGTGTTCTACAAAACAAATACAATTCTATCAAAATTATCGAGGTCTCGTAACGGCCTCTACACATGTGATAGTCGATATTCTACGCCATCGGTTCGTAATTCTACGGCGGGAGATTTTGTACCGAGAAGAACCGGGAAGAAACTCAGCGAGGGCTGCTTTTTTCATACAGAGATGTCAAGTCACCATATTAAAGAACACACCCTATGTAATGTCGACCCACGAAAAAGCCAAAAGTTAAGAAAAAAGGGTCGTAACCCATTACTCTAAAATTATACACACTAGAATCCACTCCTTTGATGGACGAAGAATCTTTCGTACCTATCCCCCATTGTGTGTATGTGTATGTGTGCGTGCGCGTGTGTACGTACCCAGCAGCAGCAGCGTGTCGTGCAGCAGCAGGTGCGGGCCGGCGGTGAGCAGCAGGTCGGCGGCCGGCAGCGCCCCCCGCGCGCCGTACGCCCGCAGCGCGCGCGCCGCCGCCCGCCCGCACGCCGCGCCCCCGCCCCCGCCCCCGCCCCCGCGCGCGCGCACCGCCCACGCCAGCGCCGCCCCCACCCCCGCGCCCCCGCCCCCGCCCCCGTCCACGCCCAGCGCGCGCGTGCTCATGCACACGCACACCCCGCGCGCTGCGCATATTACCCGCATTAGGCCAATAGGAAGGACGTAATGGTTAATTTACTGTGGTACGTCGAGTTGAAATGTCGCAAGACGCCTTTGATACCTATTATCTAAACCATTTCTTGTTAAATTAAAACAAAATCTAATATTTTTCTATTATCTGAATGAATATTTTACCCTGTCACTATCCCTGTGCAGGAGGAAGTACGATGGCAAATGCGAGTAGCCGAGACTATTAAAATGCGATTATTACTAAAATCGCTGACAAGATAAGCAGCAAAATAAGCTAGATGCATCTAGTATTAACTACTTAAATTACTCCATTGGCAAAATAAAACTGAAACTATTGACTCTTGATTAAATTTTACACATAACAACACCTTGAAATTAAATTTTAAAATGAAACCTCTTTTGGACCACTCACAATTTGAGTAGCATTGTCTACTCTGTTTAAAACAATACTTGTATTTAAGGAAAACTTAACACAATTTTTGTCTTAAAATTAAAAATCAAAATTTCAACCATACACAAAACACATGCATAGAGTATATCTCTCAGTACACTGAGATTTTTTAAACTACACAAGGGATTTTGATGCGGTTTTCATCAATATACAGAGTGATTCAAAAGGAAGGATTTTAAGTATAATACAGGAGCACGCGGGTGAAGCCGCTAGCGAGAAGCTAGTGTACGTTTCTAAAATGCAATTAGTTTTTTTTTGCAATATTTCACTACCAAAACTACCTTATTTTAGATCAGGGCAATGTACAAAATGAGCTTTGTATACTCGGTTCTGGGTGTTCTGGCAACTTCGCCGTTGCAGATTTCTATAATACAAGGACAAGAATTTTGCTACTTTGGTAGCTGCGATATATGATTGTGTATTATCTATAGTATTCAAAGTTTACTCACCCAGTTCATGTAAACCGTACTTCTTCGCTTCAGCGAGGAGTCTCATAGCTTTAGCATTTGAATGTAACGGCATCCTCTCCAGTATCAGCTCAGCACGCCTTAAGCCCTCCGGTGGACACGTTGCCAAGTAAGATAATCCCACAGACCATAGGGACTTATGCTCCATCAGAAGGCAACCGTATTCTAAGACCAAACTGTCTCGGAGACGACCTGTCACACTGCCAAATAAATATCGGATATGAGTCAAGAATGCCAAGTAATACTGTGGTACTGTTATGTCAATCCGTCAGTCCGTGGGGCGTACCAACGCACGCTCCGTTGATACCCTTGATGGACGTTTATACAAGATGTGCACAGAACTTGGGTTTTCACTGGTTATAGCTATCCTGACACTATATATACTGTTTGCAGAGAATTTCCCAAGGCAGATTAACGATACGAATGGTAGACAATCAATGACTCCCCACTTGCAATATAATGGTGTTGTCCTTTAACCGCCAAGGGAATGCGGACCATAACAATTTTGTGTGTAAATGAAATACATTAGCTGTATTATATATCTAAGTTATTATAATGACAAGTCGGTATATATTATTGTCGATATTGTAAAAAAGATTGGGAATAATTGTAACGGCTTACTTAGTCTGATGTTTGTCCAATATCTTCAGCTTCCCACAGTGGAACAGTATGTCGGTCAAATGGGTGGCGAACCAGCCATTGTCTGACATCTGTTGGATTTCGTGTATCACCTGAAATAATATAACGCCTGATAACATCCTTGTTGATATAAAAAATATACTATAATAGAAATATACTGTAGCTCAAAGGGATTAATGGCACCAAACATATGTTCATTAACAGATGCTACTTGTGAGAGATGAGTCTGTCCAAGACTACTTGTTTGTTATAGCGCTCCAAAGGTAATTTCGCAAGTGCACTAACTTTGAAAAAATATCGTATCGCCTATGTTCAACAGAGATAATATAAGATTCTTATGGTAAAAGCATTCTTTAATTCAATCCAGTACTTTTGGGAGTCTATTAAATGCAAACAAATAAATCTTTTTTATAACACATTAGGACAGATATTAACAGCAGTGAATTTATAATCTAAAGAGATAATATTGTAATTGTACTTCTCTGTATAAAATAAAGCAGGAAAAAAACAGTGCTTACAGAGTTTCCAGTTCTTCTCAGTACAAGAACTGCTTAACATTTAGAAATAGACGGCAAAGAATTTCGACTTTCAACGGTGCAAGAGTTAGAGTGAAAAGTGTTTGAAATACCCCAGACTCAAAAAACTAGCCCTATCTCTCGACAGTCATAGTGGTAACACAAATCTGCGACTTTGCCCTTTATAAGAACTATAAGTGCAATAGTAAGGCTCTCACTTGATGCAAGTCGCCGTCCAGCAGCGCCCGCACCATCAGATCCAGATGCGTGCGGGGCGCGGCCGCTGCCGCCGTCATGCCCGCGCACGCCGCCGCCGCCGCCCCCAGCTCATGCCTTCGCGCCCACGGCGACGTAAACATAACCCATCCACCCAACAAGTCGAACCACGACGTATACATGTCCCTAATGGACTCGAACGCGGAGTAATCACCTATTATGAGCTGATCGACGAACACAAAAACTAGATTATTATAAAGAAAACTAAAGATTGTACATAGTTAAATCAAATTAATACTAAAATAAATTATCAATTCTAAATAAATAAGATGAAATGAAGCTTCAAGAGTCACTTACACGCATTATGAGTTCGAGCTTTGGTTGTGATGATAAAACACGACTAGTTAACTTAGAACGACATTCGGCCTGCCAATGTTTCCAGGATATGGTAAATTCCCCTGTTGATATACCACCATATATCTGAAAGAACATAGACTGTCAGTAATATAGTGCATACTGAACACATAATAAATCAGGGTTCGTAATTGTCATGATAATAAATTTATTTTATAATTATCATGATAATAATCCATTTTTATCCCTAGTTTCTGGCAACAATTTTTTAAATACATAAAGGCATTCGTAATTGATATATCTTTTATTTTAATTACTTAAAAACTATAAAAATTTACACAAAAAATTCACTGTGAAAACACATCAAACAAAAAGTGAAATTAAAATATTTCCTATCCTATCCTAGACAAATTTCTCTGTCAGAAAAATCACATTTGATAATTCTTTAAAGATGATTCCCTTTTTATAACAAGTCTTAAAGTACAAATAGTAAGTGTAGTATTTTATAATTATCAAGGCATGTTTATCACGATAATTATCAATGAGAATCATCACTCCGAACTGCGAATAAAACTACATTTAAACAAATATATTTGATTTCATTTTTAGATATTCTGTTTTCTTTACTTAAAAATTTCATGTTCAAAAGAGTCCAAACATAGGAATCCATGTAGATGTAATATATAAAATAAAATATAAAAATATTATATTCCTTTTAAAGTAGTTTTATTTCACAAGTAGTGCACCTAAAAATATAAACCGGTACATAAATATATTTTATGCAGTGTAAACTCTTTATAATAATATCCTTTATAATGATAAACTCCCTATAAAGAAATGAAATCAAATTGGTTGGTTTGCGTAAAAACCCACATATTAATCTTTATAGCATTACAGCCATAATTTATTAGGAGAAAATGTGTTCATATTTAGAGCAAATGTTTATTATATCATTTATGTTATCTTATCAGATAACAAATAAACTTTGAGATTCTGAAAGATCTTGATTTTGTTATCCTTATTTGTTTACTGAGTAACTATTGTATTATTATTCGTAAACCAACTTTAAAACTGTTAACATGGCCAGTAAAAGAAAAGCGATTTGCGTTTGTTTATTTGTTCATTTCATATCACAATAACTCTCTATAATAATAAAAAATACACAGCCCCTTGAGTTTGGTTATAAAGAGTTTATACTGTAATTCTTTAATTAAAATTTTAAACTTACCATTGCCTAAATTTAAAACCCATTATTAAGAACTGTCTACTTAGTAGAGGATATTATACTATTAATGAATGCTTGGTGTTAAATATGACTTATTTTATATGTATATTAAATTATTTATTGGTGAGCTTGTTTGACTAGACATGTGATTAAATTGATGAAAATACTTTTTTAATTTTATATTCTCAAATATTGTAATGGAAAGTGATGTCATATTTTAATGAAGTCATTTTACATCTTGATGCTCTGTATGAAATAAAACAGATAGATAGACAGAGTTTTGAACTGATGATGGTGTAGCTTTCAACTTTCACAAGTGCCAGTTGGACTGAATGGTAAATAATTTTGATTTGATAAAAGCTCATATTAATAAATACTCACACTGTAAACAGGCATACTTCTTAATGAGTTATCTACTAATTTGAATTCATTTGAATCTACAGATGAATGTAATTTCATGAGTGCTCTAGCTACATCTACTCTTCCTTGGACTACCATTCCGATGACAGTATCCCAATACTCAGGGTGATCCTCTGATCCTCGTTCACATGCCTCAAGAAGTTGTGCTGCTGTTTGTTCATGGCATGGGAAGTGAAATCTCACCCATTCCAAAAGAAATGGCAATACAATATCCCCTGGTATATTATCAACATAAAGAATTTCACACAAGTGCCAAATACACTCTATAGAATAAAAAATTGTAACGTAAGAAAGTAGACTGTTCTTGTTGACGCCGTCAGTCTCTTTCGCTGCCGCCTCTTGCAAATTTTCAATGCACACTCTTATTATAGACCGATACTGTCGTGAAAGTTTCAAAAATTCCACTTGGTTATCAGAAGTTTTTGCCGTTTCAGCAGCTTTTTGAAGCGACAAGTATGTCCCATTGGATTCGTTGACTAATTTACGTAAAATCGGAGTAAATAACAAAATGTCTTGACGTATATCTAGTATTTGATTTTCTATTGCTATTGGAGTATTGGAGGTTGTCTGGCTACGAGGATATATGGCAAATTTGTTACCGTGTCTAAAAACACATGCTGCTTTTTGCTCAAAACATTTACCCGGCAAAATCTGTAAACAGAGAGACATATTAGTACAAAACAACATAACCTCACGTTTATAAGCAAGTAATACTTACAAAGGTTTTGATGTTTTTATCAACTATAGCGCTATTGCCACGGGTATAACTCGATGAAAGATTTGATATATTCATTTTATAAAGAGATAAAAACTGATTCAGAAGCTTTAAAAAGAAAAAGTTGTTCAAATTTGCAACCAACCGCAAACACTTTCATGGCAAATTGACAACTGACAGTAACAATGACAAATGTCACTGTCAATATCATTATGACCAATATTTTAATCTTATATACGCACAGGGATCTTACCACCAACATCTTAATATTAAGTAATTTTTTCGATAAACCGTCCCAATAATATTTAAAAATTTGGAAATTAATCAAAAATAAGCTAAAAAGAAAAGAATCGCACTCACGAAGAAGTGACGTGTCCTAGCTCTCGTATAAATTCATAAAACACTTTTCCTGTTTATGCCCTTTGCACTATATTACCCCATGGAAATATTTTTTTGTCTTATGTAAATATATGTTTCACTTATTTCATTTCATGAAAAGTGAAAAATATTACTATATTCGATAGTATCAACTAGATCCCTTTGCATTTATTGAAATATCAACAACTAACTACGTAATCCAAAAACAAATTATTAATGTTTTTTTATTATTAATGTTTTAATTGTATTAACATTTTTAGTTTATTCGTGTATTTTTATTGTAATTTATACTCAAATATAATTCAATTATATTTTTTGGTATTATTCTTGTTTTGTAATTAAGGTACTGCTTTGACCGGACAAACCGTCGGAAGACATGTTGATTTTTGTCATGACTAAAACGAGTTGTCAATCCGTTGCAAAGTGTTTTGTTTAGACAAAATTGACCAAAATTATGCAGTAAATCCAATAATATTGTGTTGTACTACGAGACAACGTTATAATGTTTTATATGTATATACATAAATAAGTTTGGAATAGAAAGACTAAAGTCCGATCATTGCTAATTGGTAAGTTTTTGGCTGTCTATATCAGATTTTCATCATATCTGTATGGCACTTTGTATCTACCTGGACGTATAGAAAACATTTCATCGCTGTCTGTATGCATAACACAACAACCCCGTCTAGTTATATCGAGAGCATCTAATGAGCAAAGAATAGTGACCCAGCATGACGTAGCTTCACTGTAGGTGACTTGAATTTAGGCCGCCAGCGCAGATAATCCTTTCTTTCTGTCAGTTGTATGTTTATACTCGGATTGGGTGGTTGTTTTGTGACGTAAAGTGTTGTGTAGTTTGAGATTCTTTGTGCTAGCTAATGTAGTGTGATATGATAAACACTATCTCTGCTTGATAATGCTATCAAGTAGATTGCCTGTGCTCTAAACCATTATTCATGCAGAATAAACAAGTTTTTGCCAAAAACTGTGCTGTTTATTGTTGAAGTTTAAAGTTATCCTATCCATATTTTTAAATATGTGAGTACTTTTTATATAACACTTGGGTACCTATTAATTTTACAGTTATAACAAGTACACAATATACAGTATACTTCTCTATCTGACAAAAATCTAAAGAATATCTGCAATTAAGTTCTATAATATTTATATATGCATGTAATGGATATATCTAGTATAAATTATCATTTTAGCAATCAGTTTGTATTAAGAAATCACATCATGACTTTAATTCGAAAAGCCTAGAAAATAATATTGATGTTTTAAAGTCCACACATATGATTATTCAAGACTGCCAAATGACATGGCTAGAATTTGTATAGAGCTGTGCCTAAAAAAAGTATATTCATGTTCATTGACAAGCTGTGGGTTATATTAAAGCTTATAAGTATGGCTTTGTAATATCGCAAATAATATATCTGAAAAAGAAGCGTGCACCATAAGGATGTTGCAAAAATTAATACACAGACTTTGCTTTCTTTCGTTCTAATACTTCAACATTTCAATTATCTAGGTATTTTAAAGGTACATAAAAATATGTCTAGGTGTTACATTATATATAAGTACATAATGTAAAACACACCAGATGTGGTGAAAAAATACTCATGACCCAGATATTTAAAATGTTAAATCAAAACAAACTATAAAAGAGTAAAGCAAATTAACTATCCATAAAGAATATTAAACCTTCTTGCAAAATATAAATTATAATATTCAGATACACTCACCTAAACAATATTGAACACTAAAACACTGTTTATTGCTCGACTCTGCAACTCAACATATGTAATGCCGTTCCTGGATAATTATATATTTCAATTTATTTTAAACATAATTTTCACTGATTCACAATAACTGTATGTTTTAATAGTTTCTTTGGACAGGATCCGGCCATGTCATTTGTTTGAATGATTTTAATAATCAATATTGAAAGTAAATTTCAAAATCAATTGAAGGCAAATTGTGGGATTCTGATGTGTTTGATTTCTTTCTCAAACAATCATTTCATTTTCTTCATAGAATTATTTAATGCAATTATCTAGATCCAACTAATATATTTTATTCGCCCATTTAATAAATAAATCATAAGTCCATCTATTTGCTAATCTAATTTTACCTTCATATTTCTAAAACCTCAATCTTACACCTGATATTATAACTTAAAAATAATTAAATTGACTAATATGCATAATTTTTTGGTCATGCTATAAATTTTAATAAATACCATTATGAAATGCCTAATATAATAACTGAAACCACAAGAAGCGGTCTGCTTTACTCCCCAATATAACCTATATTTCTGTATGCAAAACAGACTCCACGATAGAGATAACCAAAAAACCAAATCTAACATTAACTTTATACATGCATAAACAGTTCAGGTTACATCAAAATGCCAATATTCTACATGTAAAATTTATTGCGAACTTAATAACAACTGCTTAAGGTTTAATTTTTTTTGGAGAAATTTATATTTGTTTCTACTGCCATGTAATTGACTGTATATAGATAAGCAAGTGATGACAGTGAATTTTTTGCATATATATGTTCCTTTCAAGTGCATAAAATATTATTGTTAATATCCTATTGAGATAAACAAAGACTCATCTAGGTATATATGTAATCTATGTCCTTCCTCCTGGATTAAATGTATTATATACCAACTAATTATTAAATTCAGACTCAGATCTGATTAACCTGTTGAGTGCAGAAGGCCATGTGCAAAAACATATTTAGTGTGGTAACAACTTGTTACGTTACGTTATGTTCAAGCCATTAATAAATATTTAAAAAATCATACTTTTTCAAATTCATTTGAGTGTAACATTAAATATGGAATTTATAGGTTTTCTAAATTAACTTAATGTTAAATTATTATTAGCTGTGGTTTCAACGTTACAATAAGATATAAATTTGTTTGTAATCATTGTTTAAATTGATTGATTGGCATGGATTGGCAACTACAAGGTAAAGCTATATTAACACTTAGATCAACTCAAATTACATTGAGAATTGGCAAAAACTAAAAATGTCAATTTTCCTTAACTGAAGGTTATTTATTCTAATCTAGTGCTTGTAATATCAGGCAAGGTGATAATTAAATGTAAGAAAATAATGACCATGTAATTTATAAAAAAAAATGCTATTGCTGTGTGATATATTTATTATTAAAAATTATGTTTATTCATGTACATAATAGCAATTTAATATAGTAGTATTATAACAGCCAAACCAAGTCTATAAAACAATGCATTGAATGTTATGTTGATAGTGGGATCAATGAAGTATGCCATTATGTGAGAAGGGAGCTAGGTTTTATGGCATCCTGTCACATTGAAAAATCTAATATAAAAACTAAATTGATTGACTGTGAGAGAGTGCTATTAGCGTTTAAGTCCGCTATTCATATTATTGTATTGTCAATGAAGTTCAATAAATAGATATGAGTAAATTAAAATGTGACTAGTACAAATGTAACTGAATTTAAATAAAATATAAGTACAATGAAATTTAATTTTCTTGAGGAGTTTAAAATGACGCGAGATACTGTGAGTTCATATAAGTGCAAAGTGTAAATTGGCAGATTATTAATACTTGAGATTCAATTATTTGATAGATAGGACAGATTTTTTTATATTCATATGATAATTTTAAAGAATTGTCAACTAATGCACACCTCATTGCATTTGTCATGATTACCAATTGAAAATAAAGTTGTTCAGTATTAGCAAAATTGAAATCCGAAAAAAAAAATTAACAATCACCATAAGATTCAAAATACCGTGTAGCTTGCACGGATGACAGTTGTACAGGAAACTTGCACATGGATGGGTCATTTCCTCTCTTCCTCTAATAAACAAAGATAGTTTGCGGCCTTGACTACATGATTTATAATCTGTCTGTCGCTAAGCAAATAATACTGATTGTTGCTTCCACAAATTTCAAATTTCATCAATGTCTCAATAATATTTAATTGTCTCTGTATTTACAAGTGGTCTAATTTGGAAATTTCTTTCATAAAAATCTTTTGTGCTTTTGTAGATTTATAAAATAACTGTCTCAACCACGCATACCTGTGTCTCATAGATATAAAATAATTGATCTTTTAAGTTAGAGTTAATTACAGATAATGTGAAATTTGAATAAAATCGGTTCAGTAGTTTCGGAATTTATCAATGATAATAACATTGTCACGTGCAATTTTTATATACATTAAAATTGATTAAAAAACCGGTTGGGGGCTATTGAAGTAAAGTTTGAGATTTTCTGTCTGTTTCAAAGTGTTTTTTGTTCTCATTTGTATTTGTTTATGATAAATGCATAATGCAGTTATGTTACATAAGTCGATAAGGCACGTCTGATACGGCGGGCATTTCTCGTGGTGGCCCGAAGGTCGGCCGGTGCAGACCTTGCATACTCAACATACGCCATCGATCTTCAACGTAAAATATTCACACCTAGCCTTTATAGGATTACTCTATAAATTACGTGAATTTATCGCTTTTAATTATTATCATTATTAATTACCATGTTTTCCCGCGTGTTAGCCCGCGTGTGATGTCGCTACCCGTAAGCGTAATAATTTTCATAGTAGTACAGATAAACTTTGGAAATCCAAATTGAGTATGACTATCTGTTATAATGTAAAGTTAAAATATTATTTTGGTATCACATGTTTCAATTCTTAATAATAATGATATGACTGATTTTAAGCTGCACTGGTATCCGCCAAAGTTTTAAGAATCGTGCTATTTCAAGGAACCGTGAGTCATGATACGATCATGTATCGACACCTTCAGGTGGAGTTATTAAATGTTTTAATATCAGTCGTTTGATTGAAGAAACGGTAAACAGACTTTAATTGATAAATATGTTTAGTCCAACGTTCATTTCTCGAATACTTGTTTATGGCGTCACTACTAGTTTATATCATTTTAAATATTTTATTTACACCAAACTGTTATGAGTGTGAAATTATCTTTTCTTAAAAACAAACTTGTTTATTTTATTCTAATTCACTATTATTATTTTTTTTAACACTATTAGAATTAAGTGCGTATTTGTTAAAATTGCTATGTTCAAAGTAATCCAAGTATAATAGAATTTTAAGTCGGCCATAAAAATGGTAACAAACAAAATTGCGTGACCACAAATATGTGAATGTTCATATTATGCATTATATCCGCAAAACACTTCACTCTTATGACACACTAATATCAAATTAATTTATTTCAAATGAATACTTAAAAATCTTTACTATTTGACTGCCTATGCATTTATAGATATTCATAATTTGTACCCACACTACAAACTTGTAGCGATGCCATGCTAATCGTATTTCGCGACTGCCTTTAATGTAATAGATTTTTAAATTGTAACCCAATTATATTTTAAATATACAACAATAAAGTTCAATCTTGTATAACATTAGTTGTCATAAACAATACATTTCATTGTTACATCACATCAACGAAGAGCGGAAGTAGTAAATCGAGGCAGTATTAGATGATAGCACGGCACGCATCATGTCAACGTCCTACCGATGTCGATA